TTTGCCCGCCCATGCTTTTGCCATGTGTTAAAATCACGCCCACATCTTGGGGAAAACACGATCGTGCCTAAAGTTGGACACAGCCGTATTTTGAGTCACTCCCGCCCGTGTTTTGAGCCACCGCAGGAAAATCTTGGATCAAGCCTCGGCAGTAAAAACACGTTCCAGGAACACGACCGTGCTTTGGTTTAGGCCATCCCATGCTTTGGCCCCAGCTCGACCGAATGACTTCCAAATTCCCCAAAACTCGTGCTTAGCTTTTCCTTCGACGTCTGGGACCTGAAATATGACAAAGTAGCACAACCCGGCGTAAAATAGGCAAAAAATACACGACTATGCCCCGCAAACGAATAAGAACTAGGGGTGTAAACATGTTAAATTACATCGTTATCATCCCCCGATATTATCGAAAAGCTTTTCTATGATAAGGCGATGTCCTGAATGGCTAACACTTCCGCCCAAGACGCCAATTTTTTCTTTCTATTTCTGCTTTTTCGAATTTCGACACAAGCACACTTTTTTTAAAATATGGGCTTTCATTAAATTAAACGAAGGATACCAAATTTTGGGCCTAGACCCCAATGAAGGAAAACTACACTTGGGATCATGTCTTTAAATCAAAACAAATATGTGCAAGATGAAGGCCAACACATGAGCATTAAACAAAATCCCTAAACATAATCAAATTCCAGCAGAGAAGAGCAGTCGCCAAACAAGGAGAAATCCATGCCACCACCGACGGGAAAAAGCCACAAGACATCCATCCAAGAGGTGCCTGTACCACTGAAACCCTAAGCCACCTGGTGTATGAGACACCACATTCTCAATGAAAGCACGAGCATCCGGAAGAAAGTGATTAGGAGCCCAAATAGAGTGATCCTCGCCTTCGAGCTTCAGGATACCGGAACCGAGGGAAAATCACAATAGGATTCCCATATCTTCTCTGAAAAACCTGCCAAATAGGTGAAGCAAGGAGCAGAAACTTGAAAGAGAAAACAGGTGGGGGGACCTCAACCTCTTTTGTCACCAACAAAATCATCTCAATTGAATATATCTGAAGATCTTACATGAGGAAAAAGCAGAGGTAGCCAAGGATACTCAAGTGGGGGGAGTTTTCGGGTTCATCTGTGATTACTCCTGCTTCTCCATTTACTGCTATTCTTACAGAGGGGGAGAGCTCTTCTGGGGGGTTCCGATTGGTTCCTAAAGGGTTGAATATGGGTGATGTAGCTTCTAAGAGTGGAGTGAAAGTGGTTGTGGAGGAAGTTTCTCCTCATGTGTGGAAGTCAACAGAAGTGGAAGACATTGATGAGTTAGTTGCCGCTATTGAACAGTCTGGTTCTAAGTTAACTGCAGTTTATAGTCCTAATAAGTCAGTGGAACGGTTAAGGTTGTATAAGGAGTTGGAGGTCTGTAAAACTATGTCTTGTCCTTGGGTGGTGATGGGTGACTTTAACGCCATTGCAGAGGTGGATGAGGCTTCGAATGTGGTTGCTGTAACTCAAAGCATGTTGGACTTCAGGGGGTGGATAGAGCGTATGCAGTTGGTTGATCATAAGATCAATGGATCATGGTACACCTGGTGGAACCGTCAAGAAGATAACCCTATAGCCAGGCGTATTGACAGAGTGTTTGTAAATGGTCCTTGGTTGTCTATGCTTCCATCCAGCTCAGGTAGAACAATAAGCCCTGGGGTCTCGGACCATTGTGGTCTTCTTTTAACTTCTGTTCGTAGGGTTAAGAGTTTGCCAAAACCATTCAAGTTTATCAAGTTTTGGCAATCTCATCCTCGGTTTGAGGGTATTTTGAAAGGTGCTTGGGATCTACCGGATCAGGGGGGGTGATCCTTTTATAGGCTATCTAAGTGATTGAAGATATTGAAGAAAGGTCTCACAGTTCTCAATCGTACTCAGTACTCAAATATTTCAGCTAGAACTAGGGAAGCAGAGGAGCTCCTTGCTGCAGCTCAGCAGTCTGTTCTGTTAAACTCTTCTCCTGAAAATGTTAGTCTGGAAAAGGACTTGGCTCTCACTTATTATCAATTGCAGAAGGCAGAAGAGAGTTTTTATCGACAAAAATCTAGAGTGCAGTGTGTGGTTGAAGGGGACTTTAATACAGCCTATTTTCACAATTATGTGAAGACTAGGGCTAAATGGCATACTATCAATAGCTTGCTTACAGATACTGGGGCTGTGGTGGATGATGTTGAGCAGACGGGGGAGTTGGCAGTCTCTTTTTATAGGGGCTTATTTGGTTCTCCTAATCCATAAGTTGCTGAGAAGCCACTGGAGTTTTATATTGACCTTCTTATGCTTAAACTGAATCCTGAAGAGGCTGGTAGTCTGTGTACTATAGTTACTAGAGAGGAGATCAAGTCAGTTTTCTGCTCTATGGCGCCAGATAAGGCCCCTGGCCCGAATGGATTTCCCTCTGATTTTTATAAGGCTGAATGGGGAGTAGTAGGTCGAGCTGTGGAGGATGTTGTATTGTGGTTTTTTCAGACTAAGTCGTTGCCACAAGAGGTAAATTATATTATCCTTTCATTAGTACCTAAAGTCTCTAATGTGCAAAGAATGAAGGATTTTCAATCTATTGCTTGTTTCAATGTCTTGTACAAGGGTATATCTAAGCTGTTAGCTAATAGATTAGCTGCTGTTCTGCCTAAAGTGATGAGCACCTCTTAGTCTGCGTTTGTGAAGGGTCGGCTAATTAGTGATAACATTCTGATGGCCTCTGAATTAGTAAAGGATTATCATAGGAAATCAATTACTCCATGGTGTATGGTGAAAATTGATATTATGAAAGCCTTTGATTCAGTTGATTGGAAGTTTCTGTTTCAAGTCATGAGGGTTGTGGGGTTCCCTGATAGTTACATTGAATTTGTACAAATTTATGTTACAACACCAAAGTTCAGTGTGTCCTTCAATGGTGGGCTTTGTGGTTATTTCTCTGGTGGAAAAGGGCTTCGTCAAGGGGACCCTTTGTCACCATATCTTTTTACAATTGCCATGGAGGTTTTTTCGTGCCTTATGCAAAGAGCTGCGAGGGAAGACTTTATTCCTTTTAACCCCAGGTGTAAGCAGATTGGTATCACTCACCTCTGTTTTGCTGATGATGTCTTGGTTTTTACAAATGGGTCAGTGAGAGGGGTGGATGGTATCAAGTGTTTGCTAGATGATTTCTATTGTTTATCTGGGCTGAGGTGTAATCCGGAGAAGAGCCAGCTGTTTTGTGGGGGGATTACTGATCTGGAAAGGGACTTTATATCAATGCATACTGGGTTTTCTGTTGGGGCTTTGCCTGTACGATACTTGGGGTGCCTCTCATTTTTGGGAAGCTTTCTCGAGTGGACTACCAAGTCCTTGTGGACCGTATTACAGCCAGAATCATAGGCTGGCAGCCTAAGTTGTTGAGTTATGCATGTCGGCTCCAACTGATCTCCTCGGTTGTTTCCAGTGTTCTTTAGTACTAGATGAACATCTTTCTTCTTCCTGCCTCAGTTTTGAAAGACATAGAAGCAATATGCAATAATTTTTTATGGGGAGTGGGGGAATCTCGAGCTAAGGGGTTAACTGCTTGGCAATTTGTTGCTGTGCCTAAGGCTGAGTGTGGTTTGGGAGTGAGAGATTTTCGTTTGTGGAATAAAGCATGCATTGTCAGGCATTTATGGAACATTTTGGCAGAGCAGGGTTCATTATGGGTTGCTTGGGTCACAAGGTATCGCATCCGTGACAGAACTATTTGGGAGATTACTCCTACAGCTGTTGGTTCTTGGATATGGAAGAGAGTTCTTAAACTCAGGGATTCTGTTCTACCATTTATTTCAGGAGCAGGAAGTTCTCTCAAGTGGGATGGTTTGGCTATGCCCCGTTTCTCAGTTAAGAGGGTTTGGCAAACAATGCGTGTTAAGCAACCAGAGGTTGAGTGGGCATTTTTACTTTGGGGGAAATATTTTATCCCTAAGCATAGTGTCCTGGTATGGCTAATCATTCACAACCGCATTGTTACAAAGGACAAATTATTTAGCTGGGGAAAGGTGGTTGACCAGACTTGTATGCTCTGTCCGGGAGGTGCTGAAAACCGAGACCATCTCTTTGCTGAATGTTCTTATTTCCAGGCTGTGTTGCGTGGGGCTTTGTCTGATTTGCAGGTCCGGAATTGTGCTGAATGGTTGCTGAGTTTGCAGTGGGCTGTTCGACAGTGGCAGGGGAAGAAAGGTGTGGTTGTTCAGTTGGAGAAGTTGATATGGGTGGTTGTGGTGAGTAGCGTGTGGAAGGAAAGGTGTTCTCAGCTTTATGGTGATAGGAGAGTTTGCTCTCCTTCTCAGTTGGTGGCTCGGATCAAGTCGGATATTTGTTGTTTAGCTTCAAAGAATATTGAACTTAGTGTAGCCATTGAGAGTTTGTATAGTTAGGCAAGTTTTGACAGGATAGCTTGTTTGCGTTGTAAATAGTGTTTTTGAGAGGGCCCTTGGTTTTAAGGTGTCCTGGTGCTTAATTGAATTTTTGATTGCGTATAAAAAAAAGCAGAGGTAGCCATCTGCATAAGAGGCACGAAAAAAGGAAGTCTCGTTTAAGGGATGCAAATTGCAAAAACAAATTGAAAGGCAGAAGGAAAGACTGGCACAAGCACACGCATAATGGCCCGTGCAAAGAACCTGCGGGTGTTCTAGGGTTCCCGAAAAAACAAAGTAAACAAAAAATGGGTTAATTGCATGGTTGGTCACTGAGATTACAAAAAATGTTCAAGTTTGGTCACTCGAAATATTTAAATCCATTGGTGGTATTTCAATTTACTGAAACCGTTCACGTTTGGTCAATCTCCGTCCAATCCTGTTAAGTTTTGCTTACGTGGCGGTCAAATCTAAAAGTTGACCGTTAAATGTGTGACGTGGCAATTTAAAAAGGGAGACAGGGGAATCGGTGAAAAAATAGCACCGGCGGGTGGTGGAACTGGGCATGATGAAAGGCGGGCTGCCTAGCAAGCGGCGACTGCCCTTCTCACAGAAACCTCCGATCAAAAACCGACACCGCGTCATTACACCAACCCGAGTAGTGGTCAAATCCTTCCACACACATGTTGCAGGTCTTGCAATGCTTGTTGTGTTTCTTTACCTGGGAAACACCACACCATTAGACCATTTTTAACAGACCTATTACATTCATAATGCCCAAGTTTTGAACTTTATTTGCCCTTACTACTGAGCGGAAAAATAATGACAAACCCAGAAAAGGGGAATCTATCGCCCAAACCTGTAAATCACACAGGGAGAAATAAGAGAAGTCATCGAGTTTGGAGTCGGGGGAAACAACAACATCATCCTTCATTACGAGAGGGAAATGAAGCAATGGTTCCATTTGAGCGGCGACCTTGAGCGGATCTAAGTACTTCCTTCTGAGGATCTTCCTCTCCACCCTCCTGAAAACCCTCTTCACCATTTGCTCGAAAAGGAATCTGTATCTCAATTTCGGCAGCCCACCATCTTTCAATTTTGCTCGCTTCCTCTTTCTGCAGCTGGTTCTGTCACTCGGGTCGATGGTCGTACACCTAATGAAAAGCAACGTGACCGAAACCGCCTGCAATGGTGTAATGACGCGGCGCCGGTTTTTGATCGGAGGTTTTTGCAAGGAGGGCAGATGCCGCTTGCTAGGCAGCCTGCCTTTAATCATGCCCAGTTCCACCGCCCGCCTGTGCAGTTTTTCCCCGATTCCCTTGTTACCCTTTGTTCTTAATTTTAATAGTTTATAATTTTATTTTTAATTGTTAGAAATGAGCTGGAAATTTAAAAAAAAAACTTTAGTACTTTTAAATTGGCAAGTATGTTTGGGATGAATCATGTCAAAAGAGTTTTGATGAACTGAAGAAATTGACCACGGCACCAGTGCTTGCTTTACCTTCAAACCATGAGGAGTTTGTGGTGTATAGTGATGCCTCGTATCAAGGATTGGGTTGTGTGTTAATGCAAGATGGAAGAGTTATCGCATATGCCTCTAGGCAATTGCGTCCTCATGAAGTAAATTATCCCACTCATGATTTGGAGTTGGTAGCGGTGGTATTTGCTCTCAAGATTTGGCGACATTATTTGTATGATGAGACTTTTAAAATCCTAACTGATCACAAAAGCCTGAACTATATGATGGATCAGAAGGATTTAAATAGTCGCCAGAGGAGATGGATAGAGTTGTTGAAAGATCATGATTGTACCATTGATTACCATCTAGGTAAAGCTAATGTAGTTACTGATGCTCTGAGCAGAAAAGGCAAGAAGAATATAACTGATCTAGTTGATTTGAGGGCAATGATTGTTGATTTGGAAGAATATGGTGTAACAGGGTTACTAGCTTGGTTGAAGATCCGACCTTTGTTGCATGACAAGATTCGTGAGAAGCAAAAGGAGGACCCAGATTTGGCAAAAATCATTCAAGACATTAAGGAAAAGAAATCTCATTTGAACTGGTAGATGGCATGTTGAAGATTAATTGAAGAGCATGTGTTCCTAATGTTGACAACTTAAGGAAAGAGATCCTAGATGTAGCTTGGGTGTTCCACCATATGAAGCGCTTTATGGGAGAAAATGTAGAACACCGTTATGTTGGGATGTAGAAGGAGCAAGGCAAATATCAGGGCCAGAGATAGTTCAGATCACAGCTGACAAGGTCAAAGAAATCAGGGAGCGTTTGAGGGTGGCTCAAGATCGACAGAAAGTTTATGTTGACACGAATAGGCGTGAAGTTAATTTCGAAGTGGGTGAGAAAGTATTTCTCAAAGTTTCACCCTGAAAAGGCGTAATGAGATTTGGTAAGAAAGGGAAACTTGCACCTCGGTATATTGGACCCTATGAAATCACAGAGAAGATTGGACCAGTGGCATATAAACTAGCATTGCCTCCAGAGCTATCCCAAATCCACAATGTATTTCATGTTAGTATGCTAAATAGGTACAAAGTGGATCATTCCCATGTTATACAACCAGAAGAGATCGAGCTGGGTCCAGATTTAACTTTTGAGGAGGTTCCAGTTGAGATTGTCGATAACCAGATTAAGACTCTTCGTAGGAAGGAAATTCCAATGTTGAAAGTGGTGTGGGGAAATCAAGATAGTGAGAGTGCTACCTGGGAGACTGAAGAAAGTATGCGAGAGAAGTACCCTGAGTTAGTAGTAACCTACTTTGCAGGTTAACCATCTTGCTTAGTAAGTTATGTTTTGAACTTGTTGATGTGCTTTTGTTGTGATAGCCCAGTATAGGTTTTTGAAACCTAAACATGGGAACTTGAGGTGTTATGTGTTACTTTCTATGTTATGAATCACTTAACCTAACCTAAGAGTTAGGTAATGGTTTATCTACGATAGACCATGTCAAGGGTAAGTAAGCAGACTAAAGGTACAACTCAAGGTTAGATTTCGGGGACAAAATCTTTTAAGGAGGGGAGAATTGTAACATCCCGTTTTGCCTAAAATCGTATTATGGTCGCTAGAAAATTTCACGATTTAAAATCGAGTTTTTTATAGTATTTCGACGAAAATCGGATTATCGATCGATCTGATAAGTATACGTATTAATTATATATAATATTATATATATACATATATATAATTATATCAGGCAGTTACATATATATATTAATTCCTCCCTGACCATTCTTCCCATCCATTTCATTCGGTTCTTTCTTTTCCATTTTCTGGACCAAGAGAAATAGAGAGAAGGAGAGCGCGAAGGGAGCTCGGCCAAAAATTCCAAAACTCGAATCTTGAGCTCTAGTGATCCAAAAATCCCGTAAGTAATGCCTAATTCATCTATACATCGTGATTTATCAATTGAGAGCTTTAAAACGATTTTTTGGTTCAGGAATTTCTTGAATTCCCGATAAGCCAAATTAGGTTTTCGGAGTATCCGGAAGCCGGATTAAGCCCAAATTTCATATACGAGCTTCCTGCAGCGAGGTAATTAATCCTCTGGTTCTAATCCATGAATTTCAGCAATTATTTAGGTCGGAGCCGGACTCGCTGAATTAAGCTTTGCCAGGGTTTGATGTGTTTTTATCGAGAATTTGATCCGGAGCCTAGAACTAACATTGACGGGGATACTACAGGGGATATTAGGACAGTCTCGGATTTTAATTCGGGGTTCGTTGGTGAAATTGATGTTTTAGTACTGGAAGCTTAAATCGGTGTTTGAACGACCAGAACTGGTGAGGGATTAGCACGGCATACCGGGTTTGTCGTATCACGATAGTTATATATTGATGCTTAGAATTGACCTAGGTGAACTAGAATGGCATGATTAGGGGTGTATGGACTTTTCTGCTATATGATGAACCATGAATTGTTGTATGATATTATTGACTTGCCCTAGTCAATATGGACCTTGTTTATGCTGATGATTGTGTATATGTTGCAAATTGTGGGCTTGACTGTTAATATGCCTTATGATGGTTCGAGAAGGTGATTGGTTATGATTTTTCATGATTGATGTATTTGGATGTACAAGTGGGAAAATATATATATCCCATGGTGATATTTTGATGTTTTAGGAGGATGACTTGCACAAGGGTTTATCTCGAGGAAGTGCAATTATACGACTCTTGTTTTTACCTTTGTTGAACCAATTATGGTCAGGTCAAGTACAGGTGCAAGTAAGGAATTATGATTAAGCAAGATGAGATATGAATCATGTATAAGGATACCAAATAAGAGTGATTTGGTCTCTTGGTCAATTACATAGTAATTAGGGCTCCCCATGCTATTACTCCATTATGATATGTTATGTCACACCCCTGATGTGGTGTTGACCGTTGATTCATAACGAGATATGACCACACCTAGAGTGGTGTTGAGTCCGATATGACCACACCCAGAGTGGTGTCAGGTCCGATATGACTACACCGGCAGTGGTGGGTCCGATATGACCACATCCACGAGATGTTTCGTCCGTATTCCCGGGAGAGTAATTAGCATGGGAGTAGCTAGGCGCCTATGATTAAAACATGATAAGATGCATATGCATAAGTCAAGGTGGTTGAGTCTTTTGCCTATTGGGATGTCGGATGGATGATCCTAGTGCTTTGGCTTGTTTGATAGATGTATGGTAGGGGTATGCTCTGTTATGAACTCACGATGCTATGATTATCTCACACAGCTATGAGCTGACCCTCTTTTATTCTTCTTCTCTGCTTACACTATGTGTAAGAAGATCATCAACAGCAGCAGTAGATAAGTGTTAGGTGGGAGAGGAGCTAGAGTTGAAGCCAATATGAGGTATGGTCTTCAACTATTTTGTGCTTGAACTTCTACTTGGGATTTTGGCCAGTGATCCACACCTTTTTGTAAAAAAAATGTTTTGAGAACGTTTTCATGTGCATACTAGCTTCTAATGTAGTGCGAGATATCCACAGGTGTGGAAAGTTGATGATATGTGTATATTTGGTGTAACTGTGTAAGTTATGACGATTATGGTATGTATAAGTATGGTATGCAGTTGTGGAGTATGAAAACTGTGACTATGGCTATGAAAGCCTATGTATATGGTTATGAGTATATGTGTATGTTTATGGATGCAGGGATTCAGATAAATTATTTTGCAGGTTTTAGTTACAAGAACTATTAGCCCATTACGCGAGTAATTCATGTCGAAATTTTATTTAGGTAAATTTTGGTAATTAATGTAACACCAGTATTAAATTCTGCTGCAATTGTATGAACAATATGATTAGGCAAAACGTACAGGGTAGGGTGTTACACAAATTTTATCCACTTTAGTATTTTTTTTTTATCTTTTTTCTTTTGGTTGAGAATGACAATTGAGTCCAAACGCATGGGTATACAACCTAATTCGACCCGATCAAAGCGACTTGAACCCGATTTTACAGGTTTTTGACGGAAGCGAGTTTTATCTGTTTTTGTAATTGGCATATCGTGTAAGGTGTGGAATCTTAAGTTGTTACCCACCAACGTTTCCCAAGACCGCTACCATGAGTTTTGTATCGGGACCGAGTTTCATCATCTTTAGTGTTTATTCTTTCTCTCTTTCCTTTTTGTTGAGGATGATCACAATTGAACACAATGCTTCTACCGAAAATACATAGCATATCTACTAAATATTGGCGAGTTTTGTATCGGGACCGAGTTTCGTTCGCTCTAGTGGTTTTTTCTTTCACTTTTTCCTTTTTGTTGAGCATCATCACAATTGAACCCAAATCCATGAGTATCCAACCTAATTTGATCCGGTCAAATTTCTTTTTTTTTTCTTCTTCTTTTGATTGGCAGACAATTGGACCCGAATCTAAAGTTTTGACGAGTGTTATATTGTGAGCGAGCTTTATCCATTTTTTTAGTTGGCAGGTTGGACGAAGTGTTAATTTGTTAAAAAAAAATTCAAAGATAGTTGAAGACATTGTTGACCAGTTTTAAATCGAAAGCGAGTTTTGTACACTTTAAAGTTTTTTTGTTTCTCATTTTCCTTTTCGTTGAGAATGACAATTGAATTCTGACCCATTGTTGACGCGTAACTTATCGAGAGTGAGTTTTATTTGCTTTTGTAATTGGCAGGTTGGGTAAATTGTGAATTTGTTAAAACTAGGTCGACCCGGTCAAAGTAAGTTGAACGCAGTGTTGAGAGTTTGCGGTCATGAGTGCGTTTTATCCACTTTAGTAGTTTTTTTTTTATCTTTTTCCTTTTGGTTGAGAATGACAATTGAGTCCAAACGCATGGGTATACAACCTAATTCGACCCCACCAAAGCGACTTGAAACCCAATTTTACAGGTGTTTTACGGGAGCGAGTTTTATTGTTTTTAATTGGCATGTTGTACCAGGTGTGAATTTGCCCAAAACTCAGTCCAACCAGGTCAAAGCGAGTTGAACTTGGTGTTGACGAGTTTTGAGTCGGTAGCGAGTTTTAGTTTTAGTGTTTTTCATTTCGCTTTTTACTTTTGTTTGAGAAAGACAATTGAAACCAAATCCATGGGTATCTAACCTAATTTGACCCGATCAATGCGAATTGAACCTCCTCAAACCTGCAATCAGTACAAAAATTTCATAAAAGAGAACCACGATTACCTCAAAATTTTCGAAATTTTAGAAATTTTATGTTTCAAAAGTTGAAGCCAAGCCAAACACCTCTAAATTTTCGCTTTTTAAAAATCTAAAGTTTTTCGTAACTTAATAGCAGAGAAGCTCCGATTTGAAAATACAATATGTCCTTACCATATATTATTCCTTTTCTAGATAACATAATTTTCTTTCATTTATATCATAAATTGAAAAATAGTATTATTTAATATGAATTAAATCTAACGTGATTCATTTTAAATACTTTTTTATTTTTAGAATTTATATTCATATTTTATGTTGGAAATATTTTTAGTCATTTTCCATTACCTCTTATATTAGAAAGTAATTCTGATAGTTTTTAACCGAAACACTCAACAGTGTTTTTTTTCAAATACTTCTTGAAAAGATCCATAGAAACTGCTTCATTCTGCAAAAGTTACAACATGATCAATTACTAGCCATACATATTGAAGCGTCATGAAAGAAGTTTAAACATAAATAATCTATTCGACGACCTTCTACCTTATGCAAGTTCATCGACCATTTGCTATTGTAAATAAAAAAACCTATGCAAATAATGATTAAGAATGAAATAAGATTACTTTCACTTTTGGGTCAACATTAAAACTATTACTCTTTAAAATATTTATTTTTTTAATACGCAAAGCGATAGCGAGCGAACTTTTGCTAGTTTTTATTTGTTTGGCAATTAGGTGGTTACGCAAATTAATGGGTACTCAAAATATTTAATTAATGTGTTTGTTGGCTAAAGTTTATTAATGATTTATAGCATTTGCTTATGAAGGGAGTGTGATGGCATGTAATTTATAGTATTTTCGCAGTTTTGCTTATCGACATTTGATCTTATTAGCATAAAACATTGAACGTTTTGGTATTGATTTCCTTTTTTTTTTTTTTTTGTTTGTATTGATTTCCTCATGTTTGATTTCATATCTGTTTACATATCCTCCGTTGCCACTTGTCAGTTTGTTGTTTAGAGTGTTTTTGGATGATTTTAAGGACATAATGTCTTAGAGACAGGCCGTCCCATGATATTCGGAGGCCCTGTTCGACAATTTAAAACGTGGCCCCAAAATTTTGTCTCGCAAATTTATTAAAAATAAAATTTATTAAATAATAATAAAATTACACAAGTTCAGAAAATTATTACAAAAGTAATCATTTTATCTATCATAGTTCAAAGAGTAACAATCGTCTAGTATTATTTGAAATAAAATCTTTTATTAGCCCTTCTATATTCTCTATGTAAATATCTACAAATCGAATTTATTGAGTGCAATATTTCATACACAAATAACTAATGAAACCATAAACGCAAATTAACCAAGTTCATTTGTGCAAAAGATTTAATTTCACTTCTAATTTTCGAATCGTCATCAAGATCGGCTACTAATATTCAGATTCATCAATTCTTTATTTTCTTTTACGCTTAGAACTACCTTTTCAAAATTTTGGGTTGACGTAATTAAAAATTGAAATCAAAGATTAATGATTTCAAATTTCCAATCAATATTAAGTCCCATGCAAAAGAAAAAGGAAAAAGGATAGAACTTAAAACAAGTTGATTAAGAGTTTGTATAGTATGGATGAACATTTATTAGGATTTAATTAAAATTGGGCGTGAATAATTAATATTTAGGCATTGGATGGTTTTAGGAAGTTGAGAAATTTTGGAGAAAGAGAAGAAGAGAGGTGTGAATAAACTAACTGCAAGATTATATTCATCAAACAACTTCTAGCTGAGTGGTTGAATATGTTTAGAATATAAATGAGGTCAATGGTTCGATTCACATTGCCTGCCCTTTTTAAGGTCTGGTGTGGGTCTTGCAAGGAGTGCAGCTCCGCGGCCCAGGTTGGGTGGGCCTTGCTAAGGTGAGCTCCACCGGATTATGAGGCCTAGGTATACTCTGGCCCACCGATCCCTGTGCAACAACTACTAGCAACAAACAGAAGGGGACTCATGCAATATGTGGAATAACTGTATTATTTGGTTTAATATCTATTATTAAACTCCACTCAAGTCAAATTATTGAAATATTACGGTACTTAACAAGAAATACCATTTGAAAGCAACCAAAAAATAAATAAAAAATAATTGTTTGCTAAGGTGAGCTCCACCGGATTATGAGGCCTAGGTATACTCTGGCCCACCGATCCCTGTGCAACAACTACTAGCAACAAACAGAAGGGGACTCATGCAATATGTGGAATAACTGTATTATTTGGTTTAATATCTATTATTAAACTCCACTCAAGTCAAATTATTGAAATATTACGGTACTTAACAAGAAATACCATTTGAAAGCAACCAAAAAATAAATAAAAAATAATTGTTTGGTACACAGAGAGATATATTTTATTGTTTCAACTTTTAATGTATTTTAATGTATCAAATTATTTCAAATGTAATATTATATCATGGATGATTAAAATAATTAACAAAACTATTATATCATGTGTATTTTTTTCTAAATGGATCAACCTTGGTCAATGTCCTAGCTCCGCACCTGCATACAATATCAATAACTCGAATTATTGAGAGGGGTTCGATAATGGATTTTATACAAAACAATTATTCATGATTTAGTTAGTCGTTCGCTTTCGAGTGTTGTTCTTTGTCATGAATCATAGAGTATCAATAACTCGAGTTGTTGAGAGAGTTTCAATAACAAATCTTATAACATTTTATAATACGCCCCTCAAAAGAAAGTCCACTTATACGAGATTTAAGTTTGCACAAATTTGAATATCACGTGCTAAACAACTGTGGTCTCCAAGATTCAAACACGAGACTTCTCGATAAACCATTCTCAATTAGACATGCCACTCAATCAATCACTATAACTAATTTAACAAGTTTCCTCTCCAACCAGGGTGGATCCCAAGACCCACCCTATTACGCTCTAGTTCTCCCTTTGATTATACTATTCTTTACAAAGAACACCATTTGAAAAGCGACCAACTAACTAAATCATCATGAATAATTATTTGGTACACAGGGATTGATATTCTTGATAGTTTTGAATACTAATGTATTTCCATGTACAAATTCTTTCAAATATAAAATAATATCATGGATGAGCTACACAAATTAAAGGGCTAATACCACTCGAAATACCATCGTTTAGCGAAAGTGCCATTAATATTACATCGTTTTCGATATGCCATTTGTATACTAAAATGTTTTCTCCGTTAGTTGGCCCGTTAAACATAACTGTGCGACTTTTCAGGAAAAAATCCCAAGTTACACATGTTTTTAAAAAAAATTCTCAAAATACACACGTTATGAAAATAATTCCCAATCTACGCATGTTTGGGCCATCACCGCTATCGACGAAGACAGTGATTGCATCACCGCTGTCGATGAAGACAGTGATTGCATCACCGCTGTACACGGCCGCGGTGAAGGCCTGACCTTCGTCGAAACTTTAAACAAACGTAATTTTGTGCTCGGTTATCCAATCGTAGCGAATTTTTTTTTATTTCGCATAATTTTTCGAGATCTTGCAAGCCACAAATTGCCGTAGGCAGTTTGGTACCGCCTTCGTCTCGAAAATATGTCGTTTGCTACCCCGAACGAGCCTTTTTTCAATTTCGTCAAACTTTGAACGACCATAACTTTGTACTCCACAATCCGAAAATCATGAATTTTTTTTTATTTCGCATAACTTTTTAAGGACTACAATTTTTAGTAGGAGAGAATTTTCAAAAGATGAATTATTTATGGATATAAGGGGTTTTGGGAATAACTTTACCTTCCTTTTCAGGAATCCAAGTACATTCCGAAAATATGTCTATGATAAAAATTGTAGTCCGTAAAAAGTTATGCGAAATAAAAAAAATTCATGATTTTCGGATTGTGGAGCACAAAGTTATGGTCGTTCAAAGTTTGACGAAATCGAAAAAAGGCTCGTTCGGGGTAGCAAACGACATATTTTCTAGACGAAGGCGGGACCAAACCGCCAACGGCAATTTGCGGCTTGCAAGATCTCGAAAAATTATGCGGAATCAAAAAACATTTCGCTACGATCGGATAACCGAGCACAAAGTTACGTTTTTTTAAAGTTTCGACGCAGGTCAGGCCTTCACCGCGGCCGTGTACTGCAGTGATGCAATCACTGTCTTCGTCGACAGCGGTGATGGCCCAAACATGCGTAGATTGGAAATTATTTTCATAACGTGTGTATTTTGAGAATTTTTTTTAAAAACATGTGTAACTTGGGATTTTTTCCGACTTTTCAACGCCCAGTCAATGCTTAATAGGATCCTACGTGGCTCGCTGACGTGGCTTATTTACTGAAATGAAAAAAAAGTAAAAATAAAAACAATTCTCACCTCCGAGTCCTTCCCCCTCCACTAATCTCATCTTCTTCTCCAAATTTCCCCAACCCCACCCCCCACAAAAAAAAAGCTAGCACAGCTCCGCATCTGCCACCACCTCTGCAACCAGCAAATCCACCATGCCCACCACCGCCGCCGCTCCAGCTGTCACCCCAACCTCTTCCCCGGTCAGCGTCCCTCCTTCCAAGACCATCCCATCTCCTTCCACTTCAACCCACTCCACACTACACCCAAAGCAGCTCCGAGCCCTCCAGTCCCTCAGAATTCCAACGGCCAAAGACCCCTCCGCCCAGTCTTCCCCATTCCACCACGTAGTCTCCCTCCACCTCTCCAATTTCTCCAACGGCGTTTCCCTCTCCTTCACTGCCCTCAAGTCCCTCTCCACCCTCCAGTCTCTCTCCTTCACCGACTGCCCCATTATCCCTATCTGTTTCCCTTCAGATCTCGCCCTCGCCCTCCGCTTTTTCACTTGTGCGCATTCTCTCAAACACCTCACGGGCGTCTGGCTCTCCCACTTCGTCAACCTCACCGACCTCACTGTAACCGATGTCCCCGTCAGCACCATCGGGCTCTACGTCGTCATCGGGTCGGGAATATGCACAAGCTCCGGTCGCTCACCATCACGAATGCGAATCTCACGGGCTCGATTCCGAAGCAATTGGTTGAGAATCTCGCCCGTGTGGATCTTTCGGGCAACAGGTTAAAAGGAAGGATACCCAGTTCAATTGCAATCCTCGAGAATCTAGAAACCCTCAATCAGGTAGAAAGATCTCCTTTCGGCCCAGGTGATCCATTGTTTCCCAAACCAACTGTTCTGCCTCCTTCTCCTGGACAACAATCGGCTCCTCCGGCTGCTTATTCACCGGATTCGGTGGCGATTGGGTAGGAGGAATGGCAGAGTAATGCTACTGCGGCGGCGGCGGCCTGTGTGGAGGTTTGGGATTGGGGGTTTCGGAGGAGAGGCCCGATGTTGTAAAAAAGATAGGGGTGGGTGGGGTTAAAAGAATTTTTATTTTGTAATAAAATAATAAATAATATTTGTAAATTTTTAATTATTTTTTTCAAACGTGGCATCCACGTGTCGCCTACGTGGACACAAAGTGGGCCACCGTCAGGTCAACCGTCATTTTTAACAGTCAACAGAAATTCGCGTAACACAAATGACACAAACCCCTAACAGATTGGAATATTTTTGTGTTTATTGAAAGCATGTAATATAAATGGCACTTTCTCTAAAGGATGGTATTTGCAGTGGTATTACCAAAATTAAATAAAAACTATTATATTATGTGTATTATTTTTAAATGGACTCGCATTTGACAAAATCCTGACTATGTCCATATCTCTCAGTACAATGTGTACAAAATTAATAATACTCGTATATAATTTGACCAGTTATAATTTGGATTTGTGTTATACCCAAATATTATGTTTATTTTCTCCTCAGTTAGAAGTAACGAAGGAAAGTACATTTATGACAAGAAATTTGGGTCACCTTCAGTTTTACATTGCTTATGATAGTCTATTAATAATACATATCTTGTATTAATTGAGTTTTATTTCGGTTGCCGAATGAATTGAGTACAAGGTGTAGAAGGTGTGTTGTTTCATCAAATCCTGTGTTGTTTCTTCAAATTTCCTTCAATTGTTTTTCGGACCTTACATACATAAATTGGTGCGTAGTGCGTCTAAGAATCTGTTGACCAGTTCAGTTCGTCGACGTTGATTGCCAAGCATGCACCGCCATTGTTTTCTGCTTCATGCCGAACCTGGGAATGGATAATCATTAAGCATTGTTTCTACGTGCGACAATACATATGCATGAGTCCGTTTTTCATTATTAATCTTACAAAAGTCCAGTTAATAACTGAGGGACGGCTGATGGCCTCGTAGATTACGATGAAGTTATATTTTTCTTACTGCCGGCTAGACTAATTCCGTCGACCTTACCCCATATACTCATTAGAGTTTCTATTTAAACAGCCCTCGGCAGGCATACTTAGACATCGATCAAATCTTTGCCTACACCAGCTTTTCTTGCTTCTTTGAGTGAAGTTTTTCTAATCATTCCACTCTTAGATCTATTCGGCTATTTGGGATGGCAAATATTCATGTAGTGCTTTTGTTGAGCCCATTGCTAGCTCTCACTTTCTTTTGTATCACATTTGGGGCCGACCCAGCATCTCTTCAGGACTTCTGCGTGGCAGATAGTAACAATCAAGGTGTGTAATTCCCATTCCATGTATATCGATGTGGTATTCAGTACTTGCGATAACTAACATGGCATACATTTCTTATCACTGGGTTTGCTTGTCTCTTTATTGTAGTGAAACTGAACGGATTTGCATGCAAAAACCCTACTTGGGTACAAGCAAATGACTTCTCTTTCAGCGGGCTTCACAATCCTGGCAACACAGGCAATCCATTTGGATCTGCTGTCACACCTGTCACTGTGGCTCAAATTCCAGGGCTTAACACTTTGGGAATCTCGATGGTCCGGATCGATTATGCTCCATGGGGCGTCGTTGCTCCTCATTACCATCCTAGAGCCACCGAAATTCTCACAGTCATTGAGGGATCTCTTGAAGTTGGATTCGTCACATCAAATCCTGATAATCGCCTCATCTCCAAAACTCTCCAGAAGGGGGATGTATTTGTGTTCCCAATTGGGTTGGTTCACTTCCAACGGAATATTGGGCACATGAATGCAGTGGCAATTTGTGGTTTGAGTAGCCAAAACCCAGGAGTTAGTACCATTGCCAATGTTGTCTTTGGATCCAAGCCTGACATATCAACTGACATTCTCGCAAAGGCATTCCAGGTTGATAAGAATATAGTGCAACAAATCCAGTGGAGGTTTTAGAGACGTTGTGGACATTAAGGGATATTATGCAAATTTATCAAAGACTAAAGGTCTAACTAGCCAGAGCTGTTTACCTTTTTATTGAATTTTCAAGTAGTGAACTAGGTGGTACTTAGTTGTCTTCTTCATTAATTTCTTGCCAATAGTTGTTTTCCAAAAATATGACTCCTTTGTTCTAATAATATCTTTATTTTTGGTTTCATTAGTTTATCGACAGACAAATACTTCCAAATCTTCAATACCCAACCAGAATAAAAAGAGAAACTAAAACAAAACCTAGAGACAATTTATGTAAATCATGAAGATGTCATTCTTTGTCCTTCAATAAATGTAAGTATATCAATTAATGCCATTTTTTGGGATAAGGTTGACATCTTATGACCAAAGAAAACAAGTACAAGAGAAAGAAAAAGAAGAACACCAATATAAACTAATCTGAGAAACAAAGGAAAAAATGAAACAAGAAAATGCATCACTCTAATTATGCAAAAAAAATCTCTAATCCCTTCCCAAATTTGAGAAGCACCTACCCAATAACGTACAATCCAATAAGATAGAGCATTCTGTAGACACCACATTTCCATACTGGGGCCTAAGATAGAGCATTTTCATGTTGATAAGAATATAGTGCAACAAATACAGTGGAGGTTTTAGAGACTTTGGAGACATTAAGTGATAGTATACCTATTTATCAAAGACTTAGAGGTCTAACTAGCTAGGCTTCTTCGTCGTTTACTGTTTTGTTGAATTTTCAATTAGTCAACTAGGCTTCATTAATTTCTTCCCAATAGTTGGGTTTGGGATAGGGTCAGTAACCACTGGTTACTGACCTATCAGTAAACACACGGGAGCCGTAGATCTGGCGATGGAGGAATCGTGTGGTTGGCTGGACGCGGGAGTGGGAAGGGGCATTTTTGTCCGTTTTTATATTTTTAATTTTTTTATTTATTCCGCATTTCAATGGCTGACTTTTCAATGAAAGAGAGAGAATAACATTTTCTCTGCAACTCTACTTTATTCCTTCTCTCTTCCTTCTTTCTTCCTTTTTTCCAATATCTTTCCAAATTCTTTCTCTTTCTCTATTCCTTCTTTCTTACTTTTTCTCTCACAATCTCCATTTCAAATCTAGATCTGTTCTCTTCCATCTTCATTTTTTTCTCTAGCAATCGACGAATAAAAATTGAAGTCGCCCTCTTTAATTACGTTTCTTCTCTTCATCAACTCGTTGGCTTTAATTTCGATCTTTCTCCTTTTTTTGGAGTTTGGTGTTCTTTGGTTGCGGATGAAATGAGATGAGACAGAAGACAAGTTTTTTTTCTCTCTCTCTTTTTGTTTTTCCCCCTTTCTTTTAGGTAATATATATTGGTATTACCACACTATACCATAAGGTATTATGTGGTAACGAAATATATATTGGTATTACCATTCTATATCATATGGTATTACCACTCTATACCATATGGTATTGGGTGGTAACGAAATATATATTGATATTACCACACTATACCATATGGTATTGGGTGGTAACAAAATATATATTGGTATTACCGCTCTATACCATATGATATTACCACTCTATACCATATGGTATTGGGTGGTAACGAAATATATATTGATATTACCACACTATACCATATGGTATTGGGTGGTAACGAAATATATATTGGTATTACCACTCTATACCATATGGTATTACCACTCTATACCATATGGTATTGGGTGGTAACGAAATATATATTGATATTACCACACTATACCATATGGTATTGGGTGGTAACGAAATATATATTGATATTACCACACTATACTATATGGTAGTAACGAAATATATATTCATGTGGCAAAAATTTTCATACCATATGGTATGCTCTTATTTAATACCAGTCAATACCATATGGTACAGTCAGTACCATATGGTATAGACTGGTAATAACTGACAAATTTTTTTGTGTCCAAAAAATATCAAAGTGGATATCATTTTGAAGAGCACAATTAATCTGATCTAACTGTGTAAAAAAAATTTAAATTTCGACTTAAAACGAGTGAGAAATTGTCCGTTAAAGATTAAGGGAAGGAAAATTAAATGTTTTGCAATGAGAGAGAAAGATGCGCTGATGTGGTAGGGTCAAAAGTCAGCCTCAACAATAAATAAGAGAAAGTGCAATTTTACCGTACTGCCCTTTTCACATTTAATTTAAATAAAAAAGTGACTGACACGTGGGGACCATGGAAGGGGTTATTGATGGGTTACTGACCCATCAGTTATTGACCCGATCTGGACCCCAATAGTTGTTATCGAAAAATATGACTCATTTTTTTAATAATATCTTCCTTTTCGGTTTCATTGGTTTATCGACTGACAAATACATCATTATCGTTAATACACCAGCGGGAATAAAAAAAGACTAAAACAGAACCCACATACCCAACGTACAATTCAAAACGATTAAGCATATTATTGGGAAATGAGTGTCTCACATAGGGTTGGAAGTTTGGTAACGGTAATTGGGGTATACCGAATACCGTACCGAATTATTATTATTTGGTATTATTGAATGCCGGTTTATTTTTTTGGATGGGATTCATTTTGGATTGTTATTCGGTATTCGGGATTGCGGGGTTGAGGTCGCCATATACCAAAATATCGAGAAATACCGAAAAATTAAAAATTAATAAAATATAGCACACAACCTTTGGTCATTGCTCACCTTTCACAGCTTAGAAGCCCCCATCCAACTCAATTTTGAGTTTCCAGTTTAAGTCACTCTCATCTCTCACCAAATCTCTTATTATTTTCATAACACCAAAAAGAAAACACTAGTATTAGTCATCTCTGGGCCTCCAAGTCGTCATATTAAAGATTACCAATGACAAGAATTTGAGATGTCATCTCTTCTCCATTCTCCTTATCCATATCCTAGCTCTAGGCAAACTCAAGACTCTTTTCTTAGTCTCTTTGCCCTAAATTAAACAATCAAATCTAATCTATATATTTAATTATTCATTTCAAAAGTAATTAATTCCGTACACGATAATACCGATTGGGATACCGAAATATTTAAGGATTGTGATTGGGATACCAAAATTATTTAGGGATTGAGATTGATTTTAAAGTGTAATTCGGTATTCGGCATTTTGGGTATTTGGTTTTGGAGTTAACCTGCATTGAGCTTTAGTTACTTCGTCTGGCCTCTTTTCAATTGTACGAAGCCAAGTTCAAAGAATCGAAAATAGGATGGAGAACTAACACGCTAAAACATAACACCAGACTACGACCAAGTGCAATCGCAGAATGGAAATGCAGAATAGTGGCATGTTCAATTTATCAACCCGGGGTCTAGATCTACTGCCTACTCCGTGACTACCTGTTATCTAGCCGGACTAAGTGTAGTGAGAGTGATTGCAAACAAAAGCAGTAAGAAAGCAGGAAATGGTTCGAAGTTATTAAGCAAGGGAAGAGTCACTCGGGAATGAGTCCCCCTAGCTCCTTAGTAAGGTAAAAGTTGTAATTTCCTTTGGTTGATTTACTGTTGATTAAACTGCGGAATGCTGAGGCAATTAACACAGAACTCCACTACTGTAATTGGATTCCAGTATAAAGTAGTGAATCGGCTAACTCTCGTATAATCAATTCAGTACTACTGATTAAAGAAGCTCTAACAACCTAATCAGATTCTATCTATCTCAGGTTGCAGCAGAAATCAAGAAAAGTTGATCAGGCATTAATTAACTCAATGAATCATTCATCAATCGATTATAATCAAACAGTATATCAATCCACAAGTCATTACAATCAATATCCCTAACACATGGAACTAGGGTTCTTCATACCCAAGTGAGAGAGAGTTGTACTCCATAGAGAGGGGAAAACATATGGGATGAATCTGCTCTGGGATGATAATCTTCACTCCAAGGATGAAATCCAAGCCTGGTTGATGAAACCCAGCTCCAAAATCACTCCTAGGGTTTGTTCTTCACATTTTCTCTCTCTATGACTCTTTTTTGCTCTGAAAATTCGTCTCCCCTTCTTCAAAGACCTGAAATTGGGTTAAAAATCCAGTTCCGCCCGATCACACGGCTGTGTGAAATCCCCAGCTGCCCGTGTGGCTCTCCCAAACGCTGCATTTGATTTAGTGATTCCAGGTACGCTACACGTCCAAAACCACACGGCCATGTGGAATTTAGGTATGCCCGTGTGAACTCTCTGGAAATCCCACACGGCCAGTGTGGCTCTGCCCACGCAAAGGGGTTCCACACGGCCAAGTCACACGGTCGTGTGGAATTTAGGTATGCCCGTGTGGTTTCCTCAGCTTTTCGTCAAACGTCCCAACTTCATCCAATCGACCCCGAACTCGTGTCCAAACCTTCCTTCACGTACTAGGACCTGAAATATCACAAACAAGAACAACCTAGCGTGAAATCGGCCTAAAACACGAGAGATGAGACTCAAAACGGTATAAGAATGGTGGACAAAGTGTATATATCAAGTCATCAAATTCCCCCACACTTAACTGTTTGCTTGTCCCCAAGCAAACCTGACTCAAACCAATGCAGCTCTCCAGACCTTTATAGCCACATACAACCCCGATCGTCGGTAGAGGATTTCCTAGATCATTTAGTAGCTTACGAGGTCAACTGGTCTTCGAAGACGTCCCCTATCTCTCTCAATGCGAGTACTAGACTCAAGCCAGAATGATGAGAAGCAGTGGAACTAAGACAACCAATTCATGGATAAGGAGACCCACACAATTCAACAACCAAGAACTCATTGTATCGAGTGCTCTTTCATTTCATCTCACTTGTTAGAACCCCTTCTTATTATTATTTGTTTCTTTTTCTTTTGTTTTACTTTGCTGGAGTTCCAACTGCAGTTTGTATGCGCGGTCTGCCCTTATTAGGTGAGCAAGAGCAATTTATGTACATCTGTCGCTTACCAGAATACTACTTTTAACTCTTATTCCTCACTTCGTGTGGAGGATCAATGAAATTAAGGGGTGTCA